TGTACCATTAGGATTTTTAAAATGTTTTGTGACTGTGTTAGATATTAACTATGAATAGCAGTATTGGAGTGAGTGGAGTGAAATTTGCAGTGCAAGTATTGATAAAACTTATTTGACGATAACACAGATACTCTGATTATATTTTTAGCACGAATCTTCGATTACTCCTTACCGCAGCCGCGGCATTACTTTCGATTTTGAGCAATGGTTGCAATATTGGGTGAGCACTCTTCATATTATTGTTTGCGTTATGTACCATTATGATTTTTAAAATGTTTTGTGACTGTGTTAGATATTAACTATTAATAGCAGTATTGGAGTGAGTGGACTGAAATTTTGCAGTGGGGAATCGGCAAGTATTAATAAAGAAATTCTCTTCTTTCGATAACTTTGTTATGTATTGAGAAACTTGTGTTAATGGATATATTTGACGATAACACAGATACTCTGAATATATTTTTAGCACCGAATCTTCGATTACTCTTACCGCAGCCGCGGCATTACTTTCGATTTTGAGCAATGGTTGCAATATTGGGTTAGCGCTCTTTATATTATTGTTTGCGTTTCGTACCTTTATGATTTTTAAAATGTTTTGTGACTGTGTTAGATATTAACTATGAATGGCAGTATTGGAGTGAGTGGAGTGAAATTTGCAGTGCAAGTATTGATAGAACTTATTTGACGATAACACAGATACTCTGATTATATTTTTAGCACCGAATCTTCGATTACTCTAACGGCAGCCGCGGCATTACTTTCGATTTTGAGCAATGGTTGCAATATTGGGTGAGCACTCTTTATATTATTGTTTGCGTTTCGTACCATTATGATTTTTTAAATGTTGTGTGACTGTTTTAGATATTAACTATGAATAGCAGTATTGGAGTGAGTGGACTGAAATTTTGCAGTGGGGAATCGGCAAGTATTAATAAATAAATTCTCTTTTTTCGATAACTTTGTTATGTATTGAGAAACTTGTGTTAATGGATATATTTGACGATAACACAGATACTCTGAATATATTTTTAGCACCGAATCTTCGATTACTCTTACCGCAGCCGCGGCATTACTTTCGATTTTGAGCAATGGTTGCAATATTGGGTGAGCGCTCTTTATATTATTGTTTGCGTTTCATACCTGTATGATTTTTAAAATGTTTTGTGACTGTGTTAGATATTAACTATGAATAGCAGTATTGGAGTGAGTGGAGTGAAATTTGCAGTGCAAGTATTGATAAAACTTATTTGACGATAACACAGATACTCTGATTATATTTTAGCACCGAATCTTCGATTACTCTAACTGCAGCCGTGGCATTACTTTCGATTTTGAGCAATGGTTGCAATATTGGGGTGAGCACTCTTCATATTATTGTTTGCGTTTCGTACCATTATGATTTTTAAAATGTTTTGTGACTGTGTTAGATATTAACTATGAATAGCAGTATTGGAGTGAGTGGAGTGAAATTTGCAGTGCAAGTATTGATAAAACTTATTTGACGATAACACAGATACTCTGATTATATTTTTAGCACCGAATCTTCGATCACTCTAACTGCAGCCGCGGCTTTACTTTCGATTTTGAGCAATGGTTGCAATATTGGGTGAGCACTCTTCATATTATTGTTTGCGTTATGTACCATTATGATTTTTAAAATGTTTTGTGACTGTGTTAGATATTAACTATTAATAGCAATATTGGAGTGAGTGGACTGAAATTTTGCAGTGGGGAATCGGCAAGTATTAATAAAGAAATTCTCTTCTTTCGATAACTTTGTTATTTCTTGAGAAACTTGTGTTAATGGATTTATTTGACGATAACACAGATACTCTGATTATATTTTTAGCACCGAATCTTCGATTACTCTAACGGCAGCCGCGGCATTACTTTCGATTTTGAGCAATGGTTGCAATATTGGGTGAGCACTCTTCATATTATTGTTTGCGTTTCGTACCTTTATGATTTTTAAAATGTTTTGTGACTGTGTTAGATATTAACTATTAATAGCAGTATTGGAGTGAGTGGACTGAAATTTTGCAGTGGGGAATCGGCAAGTATTAATAAAGAAATTCTCTTCTTTCGATAACTTTATTATGTATTGAGAAACTTGTGTTAATGGATATATTTGACGATAACACAGATACTCTGAATATATTTTTAGCACCGAATCTTCGATTACTCTAACGGCAGCCGCGGCATTACTTTCGATTTTGAGCAATGGTTGCAATATTGGGTGAGCACTCTTTATATTATTGTTTGCGTTTCGTACCTTTATGATTTTTAAAATGTTTTGTGACTGTGTTAGATATTAACTATGAATGGCAGTATTGGAGTGAGTGGAGTGAAATTTGCAGTGCAAGTATTGATAAAACTTATTTGACGATAACACAGATACTCTGATTATATTTTTAGCACCGAATCTTCGATTACTCTAACGGCAGCCGCGGCATTACTTTCGATTTTGAGCAATGGTTGCAATATTGGGTGAGCACTCTTCATATTATTGTTTGCGTTATGTACCATTATGATTTTTAAAATGTTTTGTGACTGTGTTGGATATTAACTATGAATAGCAGTATTGGAGTGAGTGGAGTGAAATTTGCAGTGCAAGTATTGATAAAACTTATTTGACGATAACACAGATACTCTGATTATATTTCAGGAGAAGTGTCAGGGACTGGCTGGACACAAATTATCCAAACAAATGGATAGGACGAGGTGGGCCGTTGCCATGGCCAGCAAGAAGTCCGGACCTAACCCCCATGGATTTTCAGTTTCGTCTGTGGAAGACTTACGAGAAAGGATTGTGGATGCAGCAAATAAAATGAGGACCACGTTGACCACTGGAGTAGTGAAGACTGGTCTCCGTAGAAGGATGCGACAATGTATCAGAAATAGAGGCGGCCATGTTGAACATGAACTGTAGAATAAGAAAAAGTTGTGTGAAAACCTTTAATAAATGACATTTCATGCTTAACTATTGTTTTATTTTACTTTTTTGGGCTAAGTATAAATTTTCTCCTCCACTGTCGCCTATGAAACTAAAGCCTTTTTCAATGCATTTGAATAAAACCTTAGATTGTTATACCTCGTTAGATAGCTGATGAAACGTAGATATTTTAAAAAACATCTGCCGAACAATTACCATAATATTGTTTTTAGATATCCGTTAGAGAAAAATAATTTTCTAATTTTTTTTTTTATTTTTTTACTTTCACTTGTCTACTACGATCTATTCAATTAACTTATGAACTATTTTAATGACTGACGTCCTAAAGCATCTTATTACACATGTAAAAATGCAAAAATAATAATAATAAGATACACAAAATAAACAAAAATAAATGTAGTAGCCTAAAAATCAGCAAATTTCAATAAAAAAAATTAAAAGACGATTATCTCGAAAAGGGTTAAGTTTAGGGTAGGGTGTTTCATAGTGAAATATGTCAGAAATGATGGGTACTCCACGCCCTTAACGGATCTAGCACGACTTTTCTTGTAACCCTGTATAATATATTAAATAGTGAATCAGAACAGTATTTATAATGAAAGATAAAAATATTTTAATATTTTTTAAAAAAAATGCAAAGTTTTAGCTTGTCGGATTGTTTCAGACAAGTTGTTCCAGAGTCTTACTGCTTGCACAGTGAAATTTTCTTTTGGTAGCTGACATCGTCATAGTCAAGGATGGAAGAAGAAGAGATTGTGCGAGCGCAATTTTAGTATTGGTTGGAAGGAAGTTCCGTAGCCTTCGCAGAGATCTCGCCGTTGCAAATAGTTTGCAACTAACTTCTCCAATCTGAGGACCCCAGGATAGGTACCTATCCATATAGATCCCCAAGTTTTTAACTTTTTCACTATATGAAACAACCGAACCGTTGCAGGATATAGGTTGTATCTGCTGAAGGTTTACTTTACAGTGCAGCCTGGGACTTCCTACTATAATGACTTGTGTTTTCGTAGGGTTTACACTGAGTCCGTACTCCGTACTCCAGTTACATATTCGCACTAAGTCCCTGTTAATGGTATCCACTGTTTCTGTTAGATTATCTGGAGTAGCTTGTGAGTAAATTTGGAGATCATCTGCATAAAGATGGTAGGAAGAAAGTAATTGATTTGTGATTGAGTTAATAAAAACTGCAAAAAGTAACGGTGAAAACACACCGCCCTGAGGTACGCCCGCAGATGTTGTGCGCCAAGAGGAGTACACATTTTCGATACAAGCACGCTGCTGGCGACCATACAGGTAACTACGAAATCAGTCAATTGCCGATTGAGATACGAGTATGTTAAGAGAGCACAATATACCCAACAAAACATCAAAATCCACAGTGTTAAAGGCGTTGCTGAAGTCTAGTAAAGCATAAGCCTGCCTTCATCCATGCCCGACCTAATGTCATCCGTAATATGGACTAAGGCTGTGGTAGTGCTATGGCCTGGACATAAATCTGACTGGAAAGGATTAAAGAGACAATTTTTTGAAAGAAATGAGCTTAACTAAGTGTAAATGAGACGCTCGAGAACTTTGGAGACAAAAATATCTATCCTATATAGGACGGTAATCTGAGAAGGAGGAAGAATTACATTTCTTGGGGAGAGGAATGATTTGAGCCATTTTGCATGCAGATGGAAAAGCGTTAACAGATATCGAGTAATTAAGAATTTGACACATTACAGGTAGGATTTCATCCAGGATAGGGAGAACCATATTACAGCTGATACTAGCGCTTCCTACGGCATTGGAAGTTATTGACATTATGCTCTTCCTTACATCACATGCAGCAAATTGATTGAAAAAGAATGGGGAACAGTTAGGAGTCGGCAGAGAAGAAAGATAATTTAGTGTCGCTGATAAGCTGAAAAGTATGAATTCAGGGAATCAATATCTTTTATACAAGAGAAAAAACTCACTAATAAACCTATCCGTTAGCTTCATCACAAAGTATACATCATATTAGTGCTCTACTATTTAATACACTTAAACAATATTAAAATAGTGATTACTCTAAACCAGTCGTATCTATTCCAACGTTAGCCAGCCAATACAATAAAGAAATATACCGGTCGTTATGCCGTTCAGTACAATTTTGATCGACGTCTTGAAGGTTTTTTAAAAGAGCTGTCGTAAATTTCACATTTGCGTCTGTTTGGTCTGCATTCTGAAACAATAATGATATGGATATTACAAAATAATATATTTCATCGGCTCTAATTATACACCTGCTATACACACATCGCTGCACCACCCAAAGGTTGACTGGAAGAAAATACCTATGACATTGAGTCCACCTTATGCAAGAAGTAAAAAATAAATAAATTTAGATGGCAACAAAGATGTTATGCATGAGTTATATCAAAGTGAAAATGCCCGGCCGACCCAATTCCGCTATTTTAAAATTGTATCAATAGACTGTCGATAGAATGTCGTCGGAATAGTATTGCACTTTTCGTATTCTACTATCTGGAAAGTCTAATTGTACCACTAGCGATGATGTTGTGCCATGATTTTTTCCTAGAGTCCCGGCCCGACATCTTCATGAACATTACGCAAGTTAACTTTTTTTTATTTTATCACAGCTATAGCTATTGAAAATATAGATTTCATATAAAAACTGTAAGATAACTTGTAGACAAAGTGATCTTTCTGCATAAATATGAAGAAGATTGTGTAAAAACACTGTTCTAATTTAACCCAAGTAATTCAAGAACGATACCTAGATGATTTTCAATAGATTTTTTAATCTTTGATGTTTAAGCACTCATCACTTCAATCTCAGACTTTTTAAGCTTAGGTATATCAATTTTGATATAATTAACTGAAATTTTACATTAACATCCACATTTTACCCGTATGTATTTTAATGTTTAATAAAACGTCTTCCTTTTTATTGAATAGTATAAGAATGGATCTTTAATATAATGTAGTGATTTGGTATGAATTAAATTTGGAATATATTTTTTTAATACCACAAAGTGTAATTCTCAAGAATGTCTACATCAGGTTCGCTTCAATACTTTAAAATTAATTTATTTTAAAAAATTGTTCGAATAGTTATAAAGTGTTATACGTTTCTAAAAAGCCCTTTGTATGTAGCTTTTAAAGCAATTATAATGTAGGTTTTATTATTATATTTCTATAAAAAATTAACAAGAAATGAGGGGAAAAATGACTATTTTTTCGAGGCTTTTGACAGTTACCGACAACTCCCGATACTTTACATTTGATGTTGTTCTGTAGCGTAGATATTAATAAATAACAGTTATAAAAATCATCGGTTTCCGACGTTATCACGAAAAGTATGATACAAGTCAGGAAACATAAAACCACTATCTATTGTGGTTCATATTGTCTAACTATTTAATTAATTATTTTGCGGTACATTTTTATGCAATATTAGTTGTTTATTGATAATAGGGGATAAATGTTTTATCTACATTTTGCACTCAGTTTGCGGGCAACTTTATTAAACAAACTGTAATAATGTAATGTAATGTACTGTATAATGTATCTCAAGACAACATGTGTTTCATTATTAGTGATATTCAAAGGAATCTGATTCCTCGCTTTTATAGACTTTAGGCAGAAGCGTCGAGGAAAAAGGACACATTTTTTTAAAAGTACGACGATTGGTTGGATTTAGAATATTTGATAACTTTACCGAACTCACAGAAGAAGAAGTAACACCTGATATTACGCCATGTACTTCTTCTGGAAAATACGGCAGACCCTGTGTCTCTTATGGGGACTCGTCTGAATCAACAAAAAAAAAAACTGCACTACTCAGTGAATATGGCTTACATTAAACAGGAATAGATACAAAGTCTGCTGATAATGATACGAAATCTCTATATTTGAATCTTATAGATAACGCAAGCCAGAGCAAAATGCTAATGGATCGAGAGGCATTAAGTGTTTTCGTTGAGTTAGATTTAACGAAAGCACAAAATATGTATTTAAGGAATTTAACTAATGAACGAAGCTGTTATATATTCCTACCATATTATAAAATACAAGAAAGTTATCCACCATCTTCAGCAGTAGAAATTACAAATACACATGCAAAAATACTGATCTTCAAGATTTATTGGACCTTTAGCTAGATTTTTGGCTATAGATTCGGTGTATAAGAATGGATTAAGCCATTTAGTTCTATACAGTAAATAGGGATGTGATGGTTCATCTGGTCAAAGTCAGTACAAACAAAAACTTCCAGGGGAGTCTGAACTTGTTACTGATGCTAATTTGTATATTGCATCTTAAGTGCCTATCAAATTAATGAATGAGATAACGGGCGATATTGTCTGGCAAAATCCAGTGCGTTCATCAGTCCGTTATTGTCGGTTGCTATATCAATAGAATTTTGCAAAGAAACTCCTCAAAAAACTGAAGCTGTTACTGATGAAATAAAGAACCAAATCATTTTTCTTATTCTATAATTAATTAATAAAGAAGGTGAATGAATGTGAAACATGAACTCTTTATGACAATGGTAGATGGCAAAGTAGCTCAAGTATTAACGAATACACCTTCTGGTTCCACATGTACAATCTGTGGATCGTCTCCACGTTAAATGAATAATCTGACTAAAGTGATTGCTAGGCCATATAATAAAAATTCATAGCAATACGGGCTTTCTTCCGTGATTTGTTGTATGATAATGATATAACATATTTCATAAAACCCTTTTTTTTCAAACTTGGTCAGCCACAAGTGAAGCAAAGAAACAACAAAAGGAAGAAAAAAACTCTAGTCTGAAAACGTTTTCGTGTCAAGCTAGTATTGATCATCGACAAACCCCGACAAGTAGGCGGTAATACCAATGACGGTAATACTGCTAGAAATTTTCTTTACTATGCAGACTGTTCTGCTAACATCAAAGGGGTGGATGTAAATTTTATTAAACGGTTGTACATAATTTTACAAGTTCTTTCGTCAGGTGTAATGACAAATGCTGAAAATTTTGGAAATTCTGCCATGGAAACTGCCAGAATCACCATACACCATCTCCAGTTTACAAAATTCTAATTCATGGTGAAAGTATCATTAAGCATTTTGTTGTGCTTCCAATTCCTATTGGTCAATTTTCAGAAGATGCGCAACAATGCCGTAATAAGGATTGTAAAAAAAAAAATTGGTTGCCTGTAAAGTCGGTATACGGGCGAAAGTTTTACGTGACAACGACTTTGAGTGGTAAAATAATTTTAATGTGAATATTCATTCGTATAGTAGGAAGAAAGATGAAATAATAGTAACAATTTAAAACAATAAAATAAAATGTGTATGCCTATCTCTCTCACTCTCTCTCTCTCGCTCTGTCTCTCTTCGCTCTTAGGCGGGCTAACTGTGCTCGAGTGGAAGGGACGCGTGCCTTTCACTTTTTATGTCTGTCTCTCTCGCTCTTAGGCGGGCTAACCATGCCCGAGTGGAAGGGACGCGTGCCTCTCACTCGCTCTCATTGTGAGCGCATAACGTGAGCGGAGCGTAACGCAGTTTCTTGAAGTGTCACCCGGCAAACCAATTTATAAGACGTTGTCACGTCAATATCGCCTCCATCATGCCAGGAAGTGCTCTCGATCAGCTACAAAGTGGATGAATTCTCTTCTCTACACATCAGATCCATACATTTCCAGCCTTAGAAAAACATATAACAAAAGTGTGAAAGCAGTTGATGAAGATACCTTTTTACGAAGAGATCTTTTAAAAGTAAACGAACTTATTTTGGATTCCGAAGTTCACCAAGTATAATTAAGCGTAATGTACACATTATTATACATATTTTTTGTAGTATATTTTTTACTTATAAATTAGTATTTTGTAACTTTGAATATTTTATGACATAATTTTTGTAAACATAACTTTTAATTACTTATTTAAATTGGTAACTTACTTTCTTTTTTTATTTTATTTATAATGAAACAATATCATAACAACTTTTTACTCAAAATATAAATAGAAGTGTCCCTTTGAAAATAAAACATAGATCATTTCTTAAAACTTTTTGTTTTTATCATTTTTTAAATATATAATACTCCAAAAAAAAATAGCATCTGAACGTTATCTGAAACCTTATTTAATACTCTATGCTTGTGTAAAAATTCAATAGTCTTTCCTGACGAATAAAAAAGTTATCAATTTTTGATCTGCAACAGACCTCGATTTTCATAGTGCGTAGCCCTAATAACGCCAACATCTGAATGATACATATGTATTAGTTAAATAATTATCATCAATCATTTAAAAATTTTAAAAATAAATTAATTAAAAATATTTACTAAATTGTACTTACAATATAAGTAATAATAGCAGATGACACCAAACGTTTTAGCAATCCGATTTCACAGCGCAGCACAAGCGCCTGCAAGTCCTCTATCAATGCGTCGAGTGTTCGAGCATCACCTGGTGCCAGATGGATCAGTCTCGGTGGACCAAAAGCACAAGCTCGCAACGAGTCACATACTTCTACCCATATTGAAGTTCCACCATCTTGAAACAGAATAAACGAAACAGAATAAAGTACTATGTAGAAAAAAAAACATTAATGGTAGACGAATAAAAAGTAAGTACAAAGGTTTTCTTTACACCTACACGGTCCATTCGCCATCGTTACCAAGCCTAATGTGATGGAATCACATCATATTAATAGCCTTTAACAGTCCACTGCTGGACACAGATATCTCTTTAGATGGGAGGTTTACGGCCTTATAGGAATCTTGAAAACAAATTAAAGCGGAAACTAGAGGGACTGCTATTTATTTCTTGGTTATATTAGCATATCAGCACTAAAGCTAAATTAAAGTTCTGTCATTTGAAATACAAATATTTTTTATTTGAAACGTAAAAAAGGTAAAATAAAACAACATATTGGTTATTAAGCTTCAGCACATATTACCTTTATAAGGTAGCAGGGTTTCAATTGCTAAATGTTCCTGGTATGTCCCTAAAGTAAGGGACTCATTAATTGCCAGGTCGCAATAAAACGTATATCGCAACGGACGATTGAGATTCACCACAGCGAGAGTACTAATTCGGAACATTGTCTCCATAGCTGTGCCAGTTTCAGGTGCAATCTGTAATGTTTATATTATTTTTCTTGAGTTTCAGAAACCAAATTGTTCAAAGAGACTCATGTTGCGTTGCATAACACCTTTCCTAGCATCAGGTATATGTATATATATTGTAAAAACTTATTTACACCCATAAGGAACTAATTCCAAATTTATTCAACTTACACATGTCCACAATCAGAGTTCTCAAGTTAAAAAATACTACCCATTCATTTGTTATGACGCAAACCAGAATTTTGTTTAAATACTCACAAGTACATGGCCGGCATCTGGTTTTTCGTTGACAATCAATTTAACATCAGCGTATACAGTACCCTTAGTGGTACAGTTGTCGATCTCGTTACATTCACATTTAACAACAACGCGTGATGTACCTGTAGCGGCTTGTAAATTTGCCTCTACTGACTTCCATCTTGTCTCATTAGAGTAATCCGTCAACTCGCTTAAAAAGTTCTCTTCAAATGAATAAAAGTTTATCGGATCGGAAATTGGAATTCCGTGCTGAGGAATTGCAAAACAAAAATCTGTTATTCATTTTTCTCTAATTTTTCTCATTAGGATTTAATCACAAATAAATGTATTTAAATAAATATATAGACATCCGCGGTCTGTATGTTAAGGAGTTTTGATGCCACATAACATACATATGTATATATAATATATGATCATATCCATGACAACTATTTGAAACCTGCACCTTTTAAGATTTACCTACGAAAGATAAAGTAGGCTATGTCACCATCAAAAACAACATTTTTGCAATTTTTTTAGGAGCCTAAATTTTTTAAGGCACATCTCTTTAAAAATCTAGGATATTTACATGAAATGATCTAATATTTGAAACGAATTGGAGACTGCATACCACAAAAGTGGAGCGGCTGTAAAAATAAACTTAATTCTGATAGCAAACGTAATTAAATATGCATAAATGATATAATATACAAATGACCTCAAGCTACCAAATAACTATAAAATTATAGTAATCATCATAGCCTACTATACTATACTACAGCTAATTACTAATAAATCTCTTTGTCAGTGCCAGGTATGACAAACTTAACAAACTTGGCATGGTATTTTTTATGAAATAAAATAAGGATTAATATATCGTACATAGAATTTTAATCACCTCATTTTCGGTACAAATATTCGATTCATATGTATTCGTTGGAACAATGCTTTCATCGTGCATAAAACACCAAATTACACTGCAGCCAGGAGTCACATTACTGATGTTAGCATTTAGATTAACAATGTTTCCTTCATTAATTACTTTTGGTATCAGATCAACCTGGAAGAGATAAAACAATGAAGACATAAGTAACACGATATTTTTATACGTCACGCCTATACCCAATCCGAAGTACGGTTACAACTAGTTCTAATCTCAACGATCTACGTCTTATTTTTTAATTAGTTTCTCTTTGGTCTTGCTGCTAGTCATGCCTTTTAAGTTCTGTCATTTCTATATTTCCCGGCAATTTTGAATTTGGAACTGTACTATATTTGAATGTGTTTAAGTTTTGAAACTGAAAACAATTGAAAGTATTAGGATTAATGCTATTGTTTAGTCACAGCGTCGATTGGAATCTGTCAGGGTACGTACGAAAATGAACTGTTCTAAGGAAAATGTTCGTGCAATAATTTTCTACAACTTTAGAAGAGGCCTGACACGGCTTCAGTGTTTTATAGAGCTAACATCTGTGTTCAGTGATGAAGCCCCATGTCTGCGGACTGTCGAACGCTAGTATTTAGAATTCCAGCGTGGACATACTAGTGTTAGTGACAAATCTCGCGAAGGACGCCCAAAATCCGCCTTCACTGAAGATAACATCATTGCTGTGAGACAACTAATTCTCGAAGCTGGTCATGTGACGTATCGAGAGATAGAAGCTCTATTAGGCATCTCAGGGACAACCATTCAGAAGATCTTGCATGAAGCGCTTGGTGTGAGAAAGCTAGTTTGCCGTTGGATACCGCATCTGCTTTCCGACGATCACAAGGTGCCCCGCGTCAGATGGTGTAAGAAAACTCTGCAAAGGTTCAACCGAGGAGAGTCCAATCACGTCTATGACATCATCAGTGGTGACAAATCTTGGATCTATCTGAGTTGGTGGTAGGGGCAGGCTGGGATGCGGACGGGGCTTCCCGCTCGGGGAGGTTCGCCTGGAAGCGGGCGAACTGAGCGCTCAGCTCGTTCACCCGCTCCGTCAGCTTCTCGTTGGCCACCTGTAGACGCGATACGTCGCCCACTAGGCCCTCCACGACCTCCGACAAAGCGGAGGAGGAGTCCTTAAGGGCCCTCACAAACGAGCCCTTAAGGTTCACGGATTTGGTGGCCACCTTGTCGATGACGGCCACCGCCGCTTTCGCCCTCTCCTGCACAGACACGGGAGCCTGGGGGGCATTTCCCCCCACCGGCTCCCGAACCTTGAGCAGGAGATCCGCGATCTCCTCCTCCGCTACGGCCTCGCCGTCCACTCGTACGCTCCTGTAGGACTCCGCGTTTGAGAACGCGGAGCCTGACGGGGTCGAGACCGAGGCCGAGGCCGGTTTACGCGCCCTCCCTCGGCGGCTGCTTGCCACCTTTGGTGGCATCATTTCGCCGGACGTGTCGGTCCCCTCCTCCCTGGAGCGTCCGCGTTTCCTGCTGTCGCTTCGTTCCGCCTCCATGGCCTCCGCGCCATCCGACGAAGCGGCGGATCCGGAACGCAGCCGATCCGATGCTCTTCGGCTCCCAGAGATCAGAGTCAGACTGACCTCTGGGAGCCCCATCGAGATAGGCGTTCCTGACACCATCTCACCCTCAGTGGACGACCCATCCGCTCCACTGTTTTGCTTCTCCTTCCTTCCCTTCGTTTTCTTCGTTTCCGTTAGGCTTGCCTTCTGTTGTTGGTTATTTCCGATCGTTTTATGTTGTTGTTTTAGGTTTTGAACAGTATCCATATTAAATCCCACGAGTGGGGGAGAACTAGAGGTCCACCCGGGCAGAGATCCCCCATTACCCGGGCAAGCGTAAGTTTTTAACCCAACCGAGGGGTCCGCAGGTACCTCGGCTTGGAGTGCGCTCGCGACTGAACTTCCCATCAGCCATGCATCCCCTGGCCACGCACCAGAACACGGGATTCGGGGAATTTTTTAGAGAGGTTATCTTCCTCGCGGTCCGGGCGGTTAAGGCAAGACCCTCGCCCCCGATCAGAGCCGCGAGACTTAACCACAGCGCTCTTCTCGGGATTACGATATGCCGACGGTTGACAGGGAGACTACGTCCCCCTGCCTGCTCGGTGGTAGTGTGAGTACACGCCGAGCCCGTCCTCCTTTCTCCACCGCTGTCAGCGGAGAAACTGTGGCCCCTACAGGGCCCCGCCATCAGGTTTTTACCGAGGTTTCCTCCTCCATGCTCCGAAGAGCGAAGAGCCAGCAGGGCAACCGGCAGACACGCCCACCCTGCTGGACCAGGCCTTGCCCGAGAGCCGATGAACGGCTGCCTCTTCTGCTAGAATATTGGCCGCTGGCGATAATCCTCTCCTCCAAGAGGACAAGGAGGAAACAGTACCATCGCCAGCGTTTCCAGGGTGCACCACGAGGAGGTTTTCTAGCCCAGCACCCCATCCTCCATACAGTCCTGACCTAAGCCCTAACGATTTCTTTACATTTCCTAAAATTAAGAAAATTCTTCGTGGTCAAAGGTCTCAGTCCGGTGAAGAAGCAGTCGACGCTTTCAAGTCAGCCATTTTGAACTTTAGAGTGGAAAAAATGTCATAATAACTGGTTAGGGTATAAGCTACGTGGTGAATACATTGAAAAACAATGAAAAGTACTATAAGGTTCTAGTTGTGTTTTTTTCTTCAAACGACAAAACTTAAAAGGCATGCCTCGTATTCTGATTTTATCACTGCTTTCTTTTCAGCTGTCCTATCCACTTCGAACATGACACTATACTATGAGTAAAACATATATCTCAAAAGAACACGACAGCGTTCCTTAGAATACAAATGCGGCCGCGGGCGGCAGCAAACTATAGCACACTGCAGTACAGCTGGAAGAAATGCGATTCCATGCTCCATATGTAGCTCAACCCTGAGACACCTAGGCGCACTATTCTGGCAATGCATTGATAATAATTTGAACTCGTAATTTAGTAGGAGATAAGTGCGTCAACCTAGCAAGGAATTAAATTAAAAAAAAACAGTTATAATAAACAAATGTTAATGAAATTGTAACTACGACCTCAATTACAGGTAGCTGAGATTCCACGGCTATGATACGAGCTGTTGAAACCGTCATTGAGTTGCCAAGTACGGTCACTGTCACTGATACCGAATATCTGTAGGAAAAAAAAGACTATTTATTAAATGTAATAATATATTATTATTATAATATTTTATTTAAATGTCGTCTAATGAACGAATTACGAAGTAATTATTAATAAATTAAAAAAAAAACTACAGCGATAAGTAGAAATATAACATCCCCTTTCTTTTGTTAACCTTTAGAAACCCCCTCGGGCCGTCACCCCACTGAGGTAAAACATATGTCACTATCCATGCCGGGCGTCATAGGCCATGGAGCCTATGACGGCCGGTAGCGAAAGATCCCCACCAATGGCTGTAATGACGACCCGACGCTGCAACGCGCAGGCCGGGCAAATCGCCAGCGTGGGCTGAGATGAGTCCTCACTGCAATCGCAGTGGCGACAGGCGGGACTCAATTCTCTCCTAGCGACCGAGTGCAGGTACTTCCCGAAGCAGCCGTGCTCGGAAAGAACCTGCATCAGCCGGAAATAAGAGCACCGTGCTGCAACCCCCACCACTCGACGATGCACGGCTGGATCGCCTCCACGGCGGCAAAGCCAGCATGCATGCAAAGCTCCCACCCGGGATGACTAACGAGCCATCGTGGCTCGGCGAGCGGATATATGAAATACAACATCCCAAAATCAGCCTTTGAGCCGTAGTTCACTAGACATAAACGACTCGCCTGGTATGAGGATCCCTCTCGTAGTATTGGATGAATATATTACACGTTCCTGCACGGGGTCACCAGTAAGTCTAAGCGTTTAGCAGTAGGTGAAATGAATCAACTATTCTTATAGCATGTTAAAAATAACGCACGTTAATATCGCATTTCTTTTCAAACAATAGTATGTAACGCTGGCTTTCATACATATGGTTTTTACTTTTATGGCCAGCCGCTTACCTGACGCCAAACTTCCTTGAGAATGCGAATGAAGCGAAGTGCACTACTCCTGATAAATGACACTTCTTGGAAGTAAATAAAAATAAAATAAAAAACACCCAGATACAGAGCAAATGATCGTTCTCAAAACACAATATTTATCCCGGTGGTGGGTGGGAATTGAACCCATGACCTCTGGCTTACCAGTCAGGATTGCTAACCGCTTGACCAACAGGATCTAGTTGTGACATAATAATGTACATATTCGTACTGTTACTTACTCTCCTAGTGTAGGAAGGCCCGATGGAAAGATCAACGTGTCGGTTTCATATATTTCAAAATCTTCAAACTGTTCATTATCTAATAAACATTGCCAGGTTAACTAAAATTAATATTAATTTATAGATTTTATTAGGTATAAAAATTGTATATCACCACAAGTTCAAGACGCATAGATCTTTGTACAACAGTAAGGAATTTGCACTTACTTCAAGCTCATTTTGTAAATAATCAATATTTTTAAGATCGGTTTGTATAGTGAACGCTTTGCCAATAGATATTACAAGTACATCGATGTTGAAGTTCACGTTTACCTCGCGGTGAAGAACTCGAAATGGAAGGGTTGTCTGAAAAGTGTAACTATTTATATTAATTGGTTTGAACGTACAGAACTGCGAGGAGGCGGATATGGACGAGAGTGTCTACGAGTATAACCAGGCTCGTGCGATCTGTCTTGATGAGAGTGGGGAGGGCGAGCTCCAAATGAGGCGGAACGCTCACTGACAGGCACTGGTGCACGGCAGCCGCGGAACGCGCGACGACACGTTGTCGGTGTCGTTCTGCTAACCTCAGACCGTGGGTAAGTGGGGAGGGTCTTCTCTCGTCTATTTAATAGGGAAAAGCTTATAAAATGCGAATATTGAAAGTCTAAGGCTGCTTAAACTGAATTATTTTAATATTAGAGAAATGCGTATTCTAAAAATATTTTTTTCTGTCTTCTGTAAATCAAAATATAATACGTTTATATAAATTAAACAAGAAATTGATGAGATAATATGTAAGGTACCTCGGTAATGAATTCCCCATTAGAATGCTTAAACACCTTGCATAGAATGTTGTAGGCGAGGCCAGGCGTCAAGCTGTATGCATTGATTTCCAATCTCGAGCCTTTAACATCTGATATGTCCACACTACTGTCTTCACTCGTAACCGACCACATGAACTTAAAATAGAAGTGTAAACAGAGGTGTTATTTTAAAGCAGAATCGAGAATATATATGTATTCGAGTCATGATGACTGGTTTCCATTGTAAGAAAACTAAAACAAAATTAGTCAGATGTCAATAAATGTACCCTAAATCAAAACTATGAAACACGTCTTAACTAAATTACAGCATGTAATAGCTAATTTTAATTTAAAAAAAATTAGAAATGTACCCAGTTCGAATGAAAAACCATAAAAAAAATATTTAGAATTGTTTGTGCTGTTTTTAATAATTACAGAGTTGTAGGACAGTAGATTCAATTCAACCAACTATACATATATCACATCACACATGTATAGTAAATATAAATATGTTAATGCAACTTAATTCAGCTTTTAATTGTCTGACGTTTTAACCAAGTTGCACTCGCTGTGGTCACTGGCTGTCTCTAGAGTAACATAGTTAATAACAATTTATATCCATAAGAAATACATAAACTTTATATTGGCATTGTTGAAGTTATCTCAAAAGTTATTTAAGTTTTACATATGACATACAAGTTTAGCCCAGAGCTGGTGGTACATGATTACTTCGGTGGTTTTCATTACGACAACTCGTACTATATAGTGACTTTATCTTCTGAACTAGATTATGATCTGTATCTCAGAAGATAGCATTCGACAATCTAAAGCTATTATATATAATGATGCATAAATTATAACATATTGCGTACAACTGCCTTTTATTGGTGTTTGAGTGTGTGCGATATATGTATTCGGAATTCTTTTTTCTTATTTCATCATCATTATAGTCTAATTTTAATAACCATCTTTTTACCATCATCTTAGTCTCGTGTTTATTAAGGTGTGCTATATTTAAGTGTTTATTAATTTTGTTGTACAATACTGTACTTATTACAAAGTACTGCCTTCTTGTTGTGAAAGACGTTATGACAGACAGGTTTTTGTTGACGTCTTGTATCGTCCGGTGGAGAAACTGATTTATGTTTCCTGAGCATAGCCTCAAGCATAAATATCTGGCGAACTCTGAGTACTTGACAGTCTAAGTACAACGGATTGGTCGGGATCTTAAATGTTTCCGACTTGTAAAAATATCTGAAAAGATTTTCGAACAGAAATAAAACCATTTGTTTCCTGGTTACCTTAAGAATAGCCCTTTGTGTTCGCTCTAGTGGAAGTAGCAGAGTTTTAGCAGCACCACCCTATACTGGGATGCAGTACTTGGTCACAGATTGACATGGCGCGATATTTTAACCACAAGTTCAAATGATGCAGATTCTCGAAGAAATTTAAATATATGGATCGTGCTCCGTAATCTTGTTTTCACTGTGTTTTTTGTGTCTGACCCATTGCAGTTTGTCATCTATTTGCACTCCGAGTACCCTAACAGTGGTCGCGGGGTTTAATTGACTGAATTGACTGAATGACTGATTGAATAACAATTGCATCCTGTTCTGTTATTACAGTTGTGTGCAACGATACTAAAGTTTTCTGGCGGTATACCGATGTTTCTGATCGTAAAAGTAAAGTAATTTGTCTTTTCCAGGTTGAGTGTGAGTAGGTTCGAGTTTAAACAACGCATGACCTCCCCAAAGCAGTCCTTCGCCTTTACTTTAACAATGTCCCTCAAAGGAGCATGTACCACAATGGTGCTAATTCTGTTGTTCAAAAACTCTCTAAACTAAACTAAAAATCACTAAAAATTATTTCGTCCTGTCAAATAATAAATCCTGTCGAATAAATATAATTCAATACTAACACTAGTTTTTAAAACACATTGTTACTAACACTATATGGATGTAATAGTCCGAAATAAATAATTTGAATTTGAATTTGAATAACGTTTCTTGTTCTGAAAACGTAGAATTTGGCAAGACTAAATTTTTTTTAGTGATTTTTAGTTTAGTTTAGAGAGTTTTCGAACAACAGAATTAGCACCAATGGCTGTATAATCAGCATAGGTATATATTCTCGCATTATTGATTGTCATTGTATAAAGCTCATTTATGCAGATTTTAAACAAGGTTACTCCTAAAATGCTTACCTGGGGAATACCGTAAGTTGTCGATTGCTCTTCACTAATATAGGAGTATATTTTGACTTGCTGTGTTCTATTATTTAGGTAGCTATTGAGAAACAGAAAAGGTGTACCTCTTACGCCTATGTTTTCAAGTTTAGCTAGTAGATTGGGGATAGAGACTCTATCAAAGGCTTCTGCCATGTCCAAAAAAATACCTAGGCATTTATTCCTATCATCCATTTGTTTTTGCAATGAATTGAGTCAGATCTAAACTAGATACACATTCCCGACATTAGTATTGAGTGGCGATTAAGTTATTTTTGTTTAGAAATTTATTTAGTCTTGAATTTAAAATATTCTCTAGAATTTTTGACGAGGTTGTTAAAACTGAGATTGGCCTATCGTTATTTATAAAGTCTCTGTATCCGCCCTTATAAACTGGTTGAATGAAGGCTTTTTTAAACGTATTAGGGAATACTCCTGTTTGATTAGAATAGTTACATATGTGTATTATGGATGGTATGATAGAATTCTGACATTATTTTATTATCCTAGGTGAGATATTGTCCCAGCACAGTCACTACGTAGTGATCGTATTATTGATTCCACTTCAGTATCGTTTGTCTCCAGGAGGACAAGAGAGTCAAGTGGAGGACTTCATTTATTTAAAGAGCCTTAGTGCTGACCATTATTTGTTCATTTTATATTGTCCGCCGATTGTTTCTCTATATTTGTAAAATATAAGCAAAGACCATTTATAGCAAGGTCGGGATGGTCTCAGGTATTTACTAGTTCTGTCGGTTGAATATGGGGCTTCCTAAGTGCTTTTGGATTTAGTCCTGCTTTTTCAATTTCTCCTTTCTCGTATTCTATTTTGAGTTGGCGAAGAAGAGAATTGCAAAAGTTACGGTATCGTATATAAGTTAACTTTAGTATTAAATTATCCCGCGCGGTTTATTTTTGTTTGCAATACAGCGTAATAGTAACACACGTGTATTACATGATCATGTTTATTCTGGTAAATGATATATATATCACTGGACATGAAAATTTAAAAGTTAGTTTTAAATGTATTTATACCTACTCACAAAAAAGGAGGAAAACTTGAAACAAACAATACCAACCCATTTGCCCAGCGTTGTATAGTAGGCCGAAACCTACAGTCTAATGTCCAGCAGTGGACTATTACTTGTAAAGGCTGTTGATGATGATACTCACATAATAATCTTGCGTTTTAAAGCATGTTGTGATTTGAGCTTCCAGCATGTAATCTAAATCCGTATAAGTCATCTGTCCACCAACCAGGACTACAGAAAACATGTTTGATCGTCCTTCTATGAGAAATTTCTGATTACCCTGAATGTTATCGATATTAAAAGACTTATCCATAACTTCGTCGGAGTCAGGGAACGAGGCAGTCACGTTGAAAATGTAGTTTACTCCGCTTAGTAACTGAAACATTTTGATACTTAATTATTTTTGTATCTTTTAAATATTCGTTCGTTGTAGTGAGTTTGCGACAGTAAACAAATATCTACATAGTGGATTTGTGAACGTCATTATGATTTTATTACTTTTTTATATTATAGAGGCTTGGGTGTCCTCGTGACAAAGTGACAACCCTGACCATGGACTCCAGCTACTCAAGGGACTCAAGTTCGTTGAAATGCTTTGATAGCCCCCTACCCCGATTTAGGTGGTGTTGGGCCTCTGTTAACCTCACCCACGCGATACGCGAAGCAAAGAAAGGTTTTGTGCCCGATAGAAATAGTTTTCCTTATTTTAAAATGATCGTACTTACTTCACTATTATCAATGACATAGACACCGGGCTCAGCTTGAAGACTATTGAGTTTTTTCTCTAGTTTGTGCACAGTTCGCCAGAGGGCGAGTACAAAACGTTGTATGGGAGCGACCAACGGTTCCCAACGCACAGTCCAGGTGAATTTCATGTTTGACACTGCATCTGTCTGTAAACTGTAATACGGTAAGTATTTAATAAAATGACTACATACACGGTGGGCTGCAGAAATGTATAGACAAATTGGACATTACGAAACTAATGCCATCTGGTGCCACCTTCATCTATCAAAATTCATACGTTCATAGTAGTTATAAGGTCCAGTTTCGTCCTACTAGATGGTGTTGTGCTAATTTAAAATTTCAAGCCGTTTCGCGCTGGAACTGAAGCTTTAATACTGTTACTATTTTAAGTAGTAAGACCATAATTGGAATATTGCGTATTATATCATTAGTATCTTCAAATGAATTCGTGACACGTGTTGGGAGATATTTTAGGATGCAAATTATATATATATATATATATATATATATATATATATATATATATATATGATTATATATATATATGATGAAAAGCCGTAACCACTATTAGGGTTTTTCAATGTATGTTTGATATCAGAATCTCGACCGACGATAAAACTGTGCTAATATGAAATGGTCTAAAATGCAATTGCGGCTTGCCAAGTATACAAACTGTTTTTTCCAAAAATAAAAGGCGTTAAATAGAAGTTATGGCTTTTTATTCGAGAAAACCTTGTTTTCGGGGCTAAATTATGCCTTTTTATCTAAGTGTATCTGGGGACACAAGTGACTTAGAGCGTTATTACTTAGATAGAAAAATATAGAATTTTTGATAAAAATTTTAGTTACGGTCTTTCACCGGGTAGAATTTATGATATTTTTAGATAGTACTTTTTTGGTAATTATTTACTTCAAATTTTAGACTGTTTTTTTAATTACAATCCAAAATATTCCTGCTCAAGCAAGTGTCAACGAAAATGATATTTAATTTTATAATAATTTTCCAACGACATGTTTATCTATTCATGCTAGTATTTATGACATTATACTCACGTTATGACGGTGTTGTCGGGGTGATCGATAATAGCATTTTTGTCTTTAGGACACACAAACGGCGGTGCCAAAATCCGGAAAGTTGGAACATCCCCTGTCTACAAAATACCATCACCATGTATTATATTATAGAGACTGAAACATTAGAACATAGAACGTACATTTTTTATCAGGCAAGTTACAACATCCCTTGCCTATAAAATACATCACCGTGTATCATATTAAAGAGATTGATACATTAAAACGTAGATCAAAGATATTGTCAACAAAATAACATCGCCATGTTTTATATTATAGTGAAATTTGAAATTAAAAAAAGAACATACATTTTTTTCCAACCCGCGACTTTTGGAATAGCAGTGTGTTACACAAACCACTACGCCATCCGGTTGTCTAATGTCTGAATCTCTTTAGTCTGTCAAATTTTTTATTCAATAACAGTTTTGACAACAGTTTATTAAATGTTTTAGATTTACAATGGTTTAGATTTACAACGGTTTATTTACAACGGTGTATTTAGGGTATCCCACGAGAACTGTGTGGTGACGGATTAAGAATACAGAGTGTTACCACCTATATTCATCCCTTGGGTGTCGTAAAAATCGACTAGGGGTAAGCTTTGCAGGTCAACAGCACTGCAAAAAGAAGGAAAACTTGAAACAAGCCCTAAACCAACCCGTCTGGCCACCGTGGTATAGTAGGCCAAAACCTTCTTTCTTAGGAGAGGCCTATGTCCAGCAGTGGACTATTAAAGGCTGTTGATGATGATGATGATGATGACGGAAACCGTACTGAAGCCTGACGAGGTATACCTATGGAAATTTTGCAATTACAACCTTTTATTTATGTTGGAAAATTAGCTTTCACGTAACACAATGGACGATTATTTTGACACAAAATAGTCTGCCGTCCATTGCGTTACGTTAAAAAAATTTGAGAATTGAAAAGTTAAGTTTGTTCTTCAACAAGTGATGGGCGAATTTCTACACATACGTTTATTTGCTTACGAAATCCTCGTAGTACGAGGCAGTTTCGCACTTAAGGATTTGTAAAAAACTGCTACTGGATTTAGTAGGCTTTTTTTTAGTATTAATTAGTTATTAATTAGTAATTTTTTTACAAACCGTAAACAGATTTATTTCATAGTATGTACATTATTTAAGGTTATAAGCAAACCAAAACCACGTGCACGTGCCAATATTCAGATATGATTAACGTACCTACAAAGAATACAGTTTGACAAAAATTTCATAGGTACTTTTTGTGGTCAGAGCAGCATAATCTCCGTATTGTTTCTTCTATTTATTTAATGCAAAAAAACACATTACAATCAAGCACAGTAAGAAAAATAATAAGCTAACAATAAACAAAAATTATCTCTGATTTATGAATAGCTTAAGCTAACAATAAACAAAAATTATCTCTGATTTATGAATAGCTAATATTGCAAGTAATGTATGATTTGGCCGAAATTTTCACATCTGACATATAGTGCACTAATTCTTATTTACTATAACAGTATTAAGTCTAATATATATGTATAATGGATGTATCTCATATAGGCACGGAAAATTCTAAAAAAATATTGCTTACGAAAATTTAACTAAATTTAAACTTACAGCTCTTTGTAAGAGAAAACCCGTTACAAACGTGACCACAAATGGTTCGAAATGCATGGTTAACGAAATAGAAATTCTACGCTGACACTAACAGCCTTTGTATATGGTCAGGGCTGCATTGCACCGAACTGTGGTCAATTATAAAGCTATACGTACACAGCGTATTAGACGGTTGGACGTTCTGACTGGCCAGTAGGTCTTGTATTTGTAAATGGTCACCAGATGTTCATGTATTGTTTAAAGTTTTCTAATGCTATCCGTGAGTATCCAAAATAAAGAAAAATAAAATCAAAATAAGGAGTTACGTTAATGTTAGCTGGCTAATAAATTACTGCCAAATTAGTATTTTAATTTGTTACTTAACATAATAAATAAAATATTTATTAAAATTTTCATTACTCTGAAAATTTAGTTACAGAATTTTGTAATACAGTTTTAATTTGGTAAAATATGGTAGTCAGAGTGATTACTTTTATATGATCCTGCTGCACCTGAATCTTAAAAAAGAACGCCACCTGAGTGTAATTTTCATTACATTCTCAATGTGTCATTATACGCCATACCAAGCATAGGGCGTAAGTTTATGCGTGTGTGCGTGCGTATATGCTTGTGCGTGTGTTTGTGCCTGTGACGCCTGAGAACACACTGCTTCACAGCTTCGTGGACTAACAAGTACTAACACACTAAAGATTCTATATCTGATATCTAGATATCTGACTGACTGACTGTCTGATTCATAAACGCAGAGCCCGAACCTCTGTGGCTACAAACTTGATATTTCGGCAACGATGCTTTTTATGTTGTAAGGGATGAACGAAAATTCACCATTCTCAAAGAAGTTAAAAATACAAAATAAGAAATAATCATGAGAGCGAAGCCGCGGGCAAGCAAGCAATATTGTATAAATGGGGGATCAGTGTAGTCATAACTTAACCGAGTTATTTCCACGTCGCGTGAAAGTGATATCGTACACCAAATAGCCTCATTTGTGTATAATTACCATTAATTATTATCGATTGTTTTATTAAATTGAGTATTTTTTTAAATAGATGAATGTTGGCTTAGTCAAATTAAACGGTTACCAGAAAATGAATAATGGCACGAATATTATTAAACTTGAAATCAAATTAAGCCGAAATATTGGAAGTGTCATAGTTTCCAAGAATTCATATCTATACTAATATTATTAATGCGAAAGTGTTTCTGTCTGTCTGTTACCTCTTCACGGTTAAACCTCTGAACCGATTTAGATGAAATTAGGTATAGAGATAGTTTGAGCCTGGGGAAGGACATAGGATAGTTTATATCCCAGAAATCATCCTTTAAGGCGGTGCAAAGAGGGGAGGAATTTTGTTTGGGGAATCAATAACCGCGGAACCAATTCAGATGAAATATGGCAGGGAGATTAGAGATTACTTCAAAATCTCACCGTTAGGTGCCCTTTAGAATAATAAATCACAATCACACAACCATCAATTTTTATGTGTGATGAGATGAATAAATGAATCCAAAGAAATAAATTAATACCTATTTAACATTAACAGATCCTGATTGCTGAATCAAGCGCACAAATACGAATTTCATAATACCGATTTTCATAATTCTGATCGGTTCAAAATTCTTAATATAACAACTGCGATTGATCAATCATCCTATTTTTAAAATAAAAAAAAAAATAAAAAAAAATATAGTTTTAAAAAACTAAAAAACACGCTTTCTATAGAAAACCAAACTAAAAAATAGTAAATAAATTTGAAAAAAGCGTTGGGTGCCTGTTGTCAGTAGTAAAAAGCACCCCATAGAACGCTTGTTTTTTAGTTTTTTAAAACTATTTTTTTTGATTTATTTTTTAAATTAGTGTATTGTCATCGGTCCTCGATATATCTACAAAGCTTAAACAAATTCTGACCGTTTAAAGTCAGTCAAAATCACGCCCAAAGGAGTCGGTTACAAACATACAAACAAAGATACAAGTGAAGCTAATATAAAGCGTGTAACGTGTAATAAATACAATATTCCTAACGTTTATAATTACTATGCTCAAAATACCGAGTTGCAATAGATCGAATAACAAAAAGGCCGACTTAATGATAATTCGAAACATCAAAAATTCGAATTCTTTCGTTAGTCACAGTTCTAACCTTTTCTTTTGTCATCCCACCGGGGTTTGTGTCGGACTCGGACCGACTAAAACCACACGGTGTGCTACTCTGCGCCTGTAATAGGAGGGATCCGGGAACAGCTGTTATTAAGACATCTGGACCCCTCCTAGCGCCTGCCAACAACGGCGCGGGCACCACCTTCGGTAAACTCTCTATTTAGGCGACGTCCGGCACACGCGGACGCCGCCCCCTCGCGGCTGGCCAAACTAATGCGGGTGGAGGCCCACCCCGTCCACCCGCGGCCACACTCAGGGCGGCATGAGGCGCAGGTGAGCGCGCCTCCCCCGCCCGGTTCGCCGGCGGCGGATCGGGTCCGAGTGGAGGTCGTCCTCCCGGGCCTTCTCCGCCGCCTCCTTCTGCGAGATTACATCCTCGCAGAAGGTTGCGACCGCGGTAAAACAACTGTCGCTGCCGGCCATGGAACGTACTACGGCCGGTACCGAGAGATCCACTCCGATGACTGCAGTGACGGCCTGGCGCTGCGTCGCCCATGCGGGGCAGACCGCCAGCGTGTGCTGGGCCGAGTTCTCACTGCAGTCGCAGTGGTGGCAGGCGGGTTCCGGCCAACGCGCAAGCCACCTCCGTCGAAACGGTGCGGTAACCGCGTATGGCTCTAACCGCCAATACCCTCTGAGGGCGCCAGAGGCGTGCCCTATTCTGGGCGGTCAGAGCCGCCGCCCACACCGGTGCACCGTTTAGTGCCATTGACCGGACAATCCCCGTGTACAGCCGTCTTGTCGCGACGCTGGGTCCACCCAAATTGGGTAAAAGTCGCCCTAGGGCAGACGCAGCGCCGACCAGCTTTGGAGCAAGCTGTCGGAAGTGCTAGTCGAAGAGCCACCTCCCGTCGAGGATCAGACCCAGATACTTCACCTGGGCCTGAACCGGTACGAGGACCGAGTTGACCACGATTGAGGCGCCAGGGGGGTGGACCACGACGGGGGCCCATGAAATAAGAGAGCCTCCGTCCTTACCTAGGGCCACCCGTAAGCCCAGCGCCTCAATGTGCCCGACCACCAGGGAGACTCCCCTTGTGGCCAGGCGCGCCGCCTCTTGGAAGTTCGCCCCCCGGGCTGTCACCAGAGTATCATCTGCGTAACAAATTGTAATTTTTCACCCAGCCCGGGGGGGAAATCGGCTCGAAGGGCCCAGTCGTACCCTATGTTCCACAAGAGGGGTCCAAGAACAGACCCCTGTGGAACACCGCACGACATGGGCCGACACCTCGAATTACCATCTCGGTCCTCGTACACGACAGTACGCTCCTCTAAATACTAACTCACACTCACAGTTCTAACCTAATCTAACCTAAAATTCAATAACGGTAGCGGTAACAGTAAATCAGCCAACGCAGTTATACATATATAAGCCGAAGAAGAAAACACACAAAAAAAATTAATACACAAATGTTAATAACTAAGTGGATGTTTTTAAATTACATTAAACATTACTTATAGCTTCTGAATATTTATGTGTAACTGAATATTATAGTTAGTATAATATTCAGATCAGAATCAGAATCTTAATTTTAGTGGTTAATTCGTAGAATTGAAAATCGGCATTTCGAAAAAATTAATTTCGTGAATTTTGATAATAGATATTATAATTCTTCATTATTATGAAATTCGAACTTTTGAGAGTAGGAACATCGAAATTCGGAATAAAATATTATTTTAAAATAATATTTTGATGTTTCCCTGAATCAAAGGTTCGATTCCTACCTAGGACACGATTGTGTAATCAGCACATTTATCAGCAGTCTGGTTACCAGTGGTTTCAGTCTGGATGACATATCCCTTATTATATTTATGTAAACATCAATAGGTGGTGGCTCATCATCCGTGTGGTGACGGATTAAGAATACGTAATGTCACCCCTATTTATCCCGTGGGTGTCGTAAAAGTCGTCTAAGGGAGAAAACTACGCAAGACAATAGCACTGCAAAGAGAAGGAAAACTTGAAACAAACCCTTTTTTTTTTTTTTTTTTTTTTTAACGTGTGGAAATCCCCTCGGACCGTCACCCCTCCGGGGTTTGCGGCGGGGTGGTGTGTCGGACTCGGACCGACTAAAACCACACGGTGTGCCACTCTGCGCCTGTAACAGGAGGGATCCGGGAACAGCTGTTGTTAAGACATCCGGACCCCTCCTAGCGCCAGCCCGCTCCTGGTGCGGGCTCCGTCTCAATATATTTTCCTCTCTTTAGGCGACGTCCGGCACACGCGGACGCCGCCCCCTCGCGGCTGGCCAAACTAATGCGGGTGGAGGGAAACCCACCCCGTCCACCCGCGGCCACACTCAGGGCGGCATGAGGCTGTGATAGGCGGGCCTCCGCCGCCCGGTTCGCCGGCGGCGGATCGGGTCCGAGTGGAGGTCGTCCTCCCGGGCCCTCTCCGCCGCCTCCTTCCGCGAGATTACTACCTCGCAGAAGGTTGCGACCGCGGTAAAACAACTGTCGCTACGGCCATGGAGCGTACTACGGCCGGTAGCGAGAGATCCACTCCGATGACTGCAGTGAGGGCCCGGCGCTGCGCCGCCCATGCGGGGCAGACCGCCAGCGTGTGCTGGGCCGAGTCCTCACTGCAGTCGCAGTGGTGGCAGGCGGGACTCAGTTCCCTCCTAGCGACCGAGTGCAGGTACTTTCCGAAGCAACCGTGCCCGGAAAGCACCTGCGTCAACCGGAAGGAAAGGGTCCCGTGCTGCCGCCCTGCCCACTCGGCGATGACCGGCTGGAGAGCCTCCACGGCGGCGAAGCCAGCGCGTGGAGTCTCCAGCCGGAACGACCAACGAGCCATCGTGGCTCGGCGAGCGGCTTCGCGCCACTCGCGCACATCCTCGGGCGGAGGGCGAAATCCGCTCTCCGCCCGGGAGTCAGCCACTCGCCGATAAACTTCGGC